GATGTACGAGCAGCCCCAGTACAGAGGCAAGCAGATGTACATGAGGCCCGGAGAGTACAGGAGCTTCAGGGACATGGGCATGAGCGGCATGAGGTTCATGAGCATGAAGCGCATCATGGATTCCTCCAACTAAATGTTCACTAAATCAAATGCCATTAAATAAATAATGTCTGCACTCTAACAACTGCCTAACTGCTTCATTGAATTATTGCAACAAAAAATATATAAGGTGTCATTAAATCTGATATATTTTAACATTTTCGACACCAAGTAGATTTTCACCTGATGTTTTTAATATGATGAGAAATTTAGCTTTTCATTTCATTGTTAAATTGAACAATGAAATCAATATTAGGCTTATACATTTTCAAAGCAATTTCCAACAATTATACATTACATGCATTAACATAAACACTATTTATAAAGGAATTTTACCATTGAAAAGTAAGGAAAATGTAAAAGTTCTAGTAATGCTGAAGTTCAAAACCAAACTTGAGCTAGTGACCATCTTGTGATGGCATCACACCACAATGCACCTGCCCGTATCAGCAGAAGATTGGAAAGACAAACTTAAAAAAATCACAATAAAAAACACTGGAGGAAATTTGCTTTGTAAGTGAGCATGAGATATTTTATTATGCCTAACAAATACGGGAAATGTCATCCCTTTAGCAGGGACTAGTTGCTGGAGAAGTTGTGAGGAACAAGTAGAAATCTAAACACACACATTCTTTACATGCCCAATATTGAGACCCTTACAGGACTTGATTGAAAAAAGAACCTCTGAAACTAGAAAGTATTATGGGTATTAACTTACAAGGAAAGAAATCAGCGGACATGCATCTCTTCAACAAATTGTGTGTGACGGCCATGAAGCAGGTGAAGAGGACATGGAAACAGTCCAAAATACCAAAACTAAATTCATGGCTTTCAACAATAGAACAGATTCTGGACATAGAAAAAAAAATACTTTTTACACAGAGACCACATAAAACAATGGAATAAGACTTTCTCCCCCAATACTCTGTAAAATAACATTTTACTTCCATCCAGCCCGACCTTGCAATAAATAGGTACTCCTCTCCCATCACCATCCAAATACCCCCTGTCCTACACTCCCCCACAACTCCTCCTTTCTTTGTTTTTTGTTTTTTGAAGTTTTGTATCTCTTAGTTATTTTCTGTTATTTATACATTTAACTTGTATAAAGTATTAAAAAATGTGCAATAACCCCTGAAGTAAACAATTGTCGGAAGATGATGAAAGAAACATTGCAATAAAGTATTTTCAAAAAAGAATAGCATCAGTATGTCCGTTTCATTTGCGTTTGGGGTCCATCCCCTGCAAACTGCACTCCCAACCCGACCATATGATCTGTCTATAATGGACCCAGCAGACGAATTATTTGGTCAGGAACTCTATGTGGTGACTTATAACCTTTTGCGTCTCCAAAATGGCACACGGGAGTAGGGAAAGGGAGGAAGCCTCATCATCGGCATGCTGGGAGGTTTCCTCAAGGCCTTGCTTTGCCAAAATTGATAACTGGGTGGGAAGAGGACTTTATTTTCATTTCTGCATCGTAGTCTGCTAACCTCCAGTCTGATGGAAACCAGTCTGCCAGTCTCCAGCCTTCATCCTGGTCTGTTAGCTTTGAGCCTGCTTTCCAGTCTGCAACCAGCCTCCCTTTGGCCCTTTCAGTAACCAGCCTCCCCTCCGGCCTTCTAGCAACCAGCCTCCCCTCCGGCCTTCTAGCAACCAGCCTCCCCTCCGTCCTTCTAGCAACCAGCCTCCCCTCCGTCCTTCTAGCAACCAGCCTTTGTTGCCAACATCCAGAGCGGTCCTTCCCCTACTACCTGCACTCCCAGCTGTTACAAGCACATTCATTAATGAGCTAAATAACCTGCTAATGGGTGTTGCTGATGAATGCCCGTAGGTAAATGGTTTCAAACCCTGAACAGCGTATGAAACGTAGAAGGTGCTTTGGACTTCATAAAACATCTGACCAGAGTGGCAATTGCGGTCAACCAGTGACGTAGCTAATGGTAGCCACTTGAGCTAGCTAATGTTTGTTGTTAATGCCACATAGTAACAATTTTAAGACATGAAATAACACTCTTAACACTCATAACACTCTTATGCTTGTTGGTTTTACTCCTTTAACTCCCAAGAACCACTTTGGTAAAACACATCCAATCAATGAGCTTAAAATTCTGTTTCGTACACCGTTAACAGCAAGATTACTCTACCTTTATCTACAATGTCAGTCCACTTAAAATTTGGTTAATTGTTAGATGGATTCAGCAATTATGATGCAGTGTTCTGTCGCTCTGCGCTCCTATTGGTCAACGACACGGAATGCGTTGTAGAACTGGTCGAACTCTGCGAGACAGTGCAAAGTAATTCTGACATGGCCGTCTTTTTTGTCGGAACATTATAAGGTAGCATCGGTTGTTGTTAACTATTATACACTTCACGGGGTAAAAAAATCAGCTGTTGTGCCGAACGCTGATTTTTGTGTAACCCGGTCAAAAGGGTGACATTTCTAAAGTCTTCGAGGGGCCAGTCATGTGATTATGCAACACAGTAACACAGGCCTGTACGCTGCTCTATACCATGTTGCTGGGTCAGGGGTTTAAACAATAGGGGGCCACTGACTCTGTAGGGTTTGGTCGGCTATAAAAGCAAGGGTTAAACCAAACAGGACAGCAGTGCAGCAGTAGCAACAGCAGCAGCTCATCTACAAGTATGACCACCACTGACATGAGCATGGGCAAGGTAAGCACCTGGATCATTTCAGGCATTAATCACAAATATTGCACTTTAAACAGAAGACTTATGTCCATGCATTTACTGATAACCCAAATTATAAACTAATCCCTTGTTTTCAGATCACCTTCTACGAGGAGAAGAACTTCCAGGGTCGCTCCTATGAGTGCATGAGCGACTGCTCCGACATGACCTCCTACCTGAGCAGGTGCCAGTCCTGCAGGGTGGAGAGCGGCTGCTTCATGGTCTACGACCGCACCAACTACATGGGGAGCCAGTACTTCATGAGGAGGGGCGAGTACGCCGACCACATGAGCATGATGGGCATGAGTGGTGGCATCAAGTCTTGTCGTATGATCCCCATGGTAGGTTTAAAACAGCATCCGTCATGATTCTACTTTGAGTTACAACCCCCACAAAACTTGATATTAAGATTTTTTTTTTTTTAAATCTCTCCAAAACAGCACAGAGGACAGTTCAGGATGAAGATCTACGAGAGGGAGAACTTCGGTGGTCAGAGTCACGAGCTGATGGAGGACTGTGACAACATCATGGACCGTTACCGCATGAGCGAGTGCCAGTCCTGCAACGTGATGGACGGCCACTGGCTGATGTACGAGCAGCCCCAGTACAGAGGCAAGCAGATGTACATGAGGCCCGGAGAGTACAGGAGCTTCAAGGACATGGGCATGAGCGGCATGAGGTTCATGAGCATGAAGCGCATCATGGACATGTGCTAGACATTTTCATTTTGAAATAAAATATGAAAGATAAAACGAAATATTGAGCTTGTGACTTTTTTTCATCCTGTTTTACTAATGAGAATCCAAATATAAAGAGGTACTCAAACCAAGCATGTTCACAACTTAACAGAAAATAATGTATCACTCTAACAAACATGAAGAGAAATTTAAATACAAAAATAAATGTTGATTTCACAGACACAACACATTGTAAAACCGTACTTCATCAGATAAACATTGACGTGTAAAGAAATAAATATATTCTGCATACATATATTCTGCAACAGAAACAACAAACATTTGTTTAGCAAATCACAATTAAGCAAATCAGAATAAGATTTCAGAAGCATCTGAAATATTATTAGTTTGAGTAACATGTTATGAAGCTGTACAAACGGTGTATAATGTATATTCTTTCTATATATGAGATACTGATTCTGTGAGATACTATCCACTTTGTTTTGTAGATATTCATGAAGTTTTCAGCCCTGGAACAGTTTGTGTGAGACTCTGTTCAATGTTATTCAATATTCCCTATATTTATTATTTATCATCATTATTGTATTATTCTATTTTCATTCGTTTAACCTGGTCAAAGTCTCATTGTGACTGAAATCTCTTTTGAAGACAGACTCGGCCAAGACGACACCATAAAATACAATAAAAACAACAGTTTAGATGATATAAAGAGTATGAACAACATCCAGTTAAGAGTCTCTAACGAAAATCAAGTACAAACAATACATTTCAATGTACAGTATAGTTCACTATTTACTCTGAGTCTGTCTTGGTAGTGATGTATAAATATGATAACCCATATTGCACTCAAATTACTCCACCATGTAATATACAAAGTATATTGTATTCAAATGATGCATGCATTGCACAAAGGTCAACTGTAATTATGTAAGCAGCTGATAACAACAAGCATTAGTTTGTTGTGTAGAAATAATTCCAACTATAAAATGAGCAGATAACATTATTATAATACAAATAATGATGGTTACCATAAATCAAACAGGTGATTGCTGCATCCTTCATAGAGATCATGCACACATTTCACAATAGCTCCAGCACCTTTTTTATGAGCAGTTGAGATCATTGACGTTTCAGGTTACAAAGATGTTTGTGTCAATCCAGCATAAACAATTGTAGTAACAGAATAAATCCACACTATACCTTAAAGATGATTCAGACTTTCAACCCCCCCCCGGTATGTTACTTGTAAATAAAATTTAAAAAGAGTTCAATCATTCTAATAGTCAAAGTAATCACACATTTAACCGACAGATACAGAAGCCGTTTGATCTAGATTGATAAAACCTGTGAGAGGATGCATAATAACCCGTTCCCATCAGCATTCACGAACAGAGGGTCCAACATCGCATGCTGCTGACTCATGACTTCTACACAATGGTGCCATTGAGTGTTTGGATGCCACGTTAGGTATAAAAAAGGCTTAAATCCAGGATAGGATTGCTATAGCATCACTCAATGTAACAGCCACCATGCACGGCAGGGTGAGTGTTTCGTGGATATTCTACTACAACTGTTACTCTTGTAAAGTTTTTGCTTTGCTGTATTTATATGTTGTACATTACTGTGCAAAGGAAGGCATCCTTCTTTTGGCGCTGTTACCTCACTAAGATAATTATTCCATAACGATAGCTGTTTACATCAGGCTTGATATCGGTGCCCGTCCGTCCCAATGTGTGATACTGAACTTGGGGCGGCTGCTCTGTTGGATTCTAGATCATCTTCTACGAGGACAAGAACTTCCAGGGTCGCTCCTATGAGACCAGCAGCGACTGCGCTGACATGGCCTCCCACCTGAGCAGGTGTCACTCCTGCAAGGTGGAGAGCGGCTGCTTCATGGTCTACGACCGGCCCAACTACATGGGTCAGCAGTACTTCCTGAAGAGGGGCGAGTACTCCGACTACCAGCGCATGATGGGTTTCGGTGACTGCATCAGGTCTTGCCGTAACATCCCCATGGTACAAAGATCAGGGAATTCTGCATCCCACAAATGACTTCTAATTGGAAGTTTCCTTCAAAATGACTAATCACTATGTATTTACTTTTAACAGCACAAAGGGTCCTACAAAGTGAGGATCTACGAGAGGGAGAACTTCGGCGGTCAGATGAATGAGCTGAACGACGACTGTGACAACATCCAGGACCGTTACCGCATGTCCGACTGCCAGTCCTGCAACGTGATGGACGGCCACTGGCTGATGTACGAGCAGCCCCAGTACAGAGGCAAGATGATGTACCTGAGGCCCGGAGAGTACAAGAGCTTCAAGGACATGGGATACGATGGAATGAGATTCAGCTCCATTCGACGCATCACTGACTCCTGTTAACTTTACAAATTGATGTTTCAAACAAAACTCAAAAATTAAAAAATGTCCATACATAACGTGGTTTATGTCATCTTCATTGTTGGTACTTTATAAATTTGATTTTTGTCTGTATTGCATAATTTGAATGCAAAGTTTGAATAGAAAAAGATATCTATAGTTCATTGATTGCCTCTGATATCCTCCATATCCATCATTTACAACCTCGTATCATCACCTAAAGAAGTTCTTTCACATTCATAATATATGATGGTTTATCAGAAGACATAAAGGAAAATGCATCTATTCCTATTCTGTAAATTTAAGTTATTGTATAGGTACCAAGAAATGCATTAAAAAAAAGATTAATAAGTAAGTAAAAAAAAGATGAATTTGTAGTAGCACTAGTAAAAAAAAGTTATTTCTGATTCTGTAGTTCAAGATTTAAGAATAAATAAAAAATATTTTAAATAGTAGCTTTGAGTATAATAGGTAAGGTTGGATAAGTTAGGTAATTCTTCACATAGAAAATCAAATACTGTGTGCTTATACTAATATTAATAGTATTTGGTTGATTCAGATGTTAAAGGCACAATCTATATGCAACACATATTCTCCAGAAAAGTTCCAGAAAAATGTTCCAAAGTGAACAACAAACTATATCATATCGTTAGCTGCCTCCTCTTTGATGAGTGGTTTGAGCAACTAAATAATCTGTCAGCTCGTTTACTGTCAGTGCTCCTTTGTGTTTTTCCCTTCGCAGACAGAGATACGTGGAGCCATCTCACTTAATGTCTTGCACCAGGGCACGCTGCACTGTTATTTCAACAAGTTCTCATTTTAACTCGTCAAATACTGGCGCTTTGTCGGACCCGTTGGCGTCACTTTCTAACATATTGGGTAGCCCAGCGCACGGTCGCTATAGACATGTGGTTGACGTTATGAATATAAACAAAACCACTTAGGTAAGTATGGAGAACACGTCACATCACTTCAAGATAACTCAAACAACACTTTGGGACACGAACACCGGTCTCCTGATTGAAAGTCCTGTGTTTGTTTGATCCATGCGCCCTGGGTGGTGTTTCACTTTTTTGGTCTTTGTACTATGTCATCACTCGTCAGTTTCTGAAAGCATCAAATAATGACGCGGGTGGGTTTACATGGTAGTTACTTGAAAGCCTGGCGTGTCTCATACAGACGCTAACAAAGATGTCTTGTGCGTCGGTATGAGACGCTGGGGGTCTTGATAAAACGCCGGTGTTCGATGCCCTAGGATTGAGACTGGGTCTGTTTCTCTCTCTCTCTCTCTCTCACAATCATCGTCTGCTCTTCTGGTTTTGCCCTCACTGCATTGCATTGCAACCACCGCTGATTTACAGACTACAGATTGTGTTGTTATTGTCTCAATTCCAAATAGTAAGTGACTATAAATCTTGTGGGCCCTCCTTCTTTGTCCAGCTCTCTGAGCCTGGGCTGTGATGATAACAATGAGTCACAAATGCTACTTTGTTGCATTCACGCCTGCTTTTTAAAATATAAGACATCTAATTTGCCCAAGATGCATAAAGTGTGTGAGTGAAACAGCCTGTATTACTACAGACTCATCAGGTTATGATATGTATGTTTTATTTTTTATTTTAATAACAGAGATTCAAAATGAAAGCAGGATTCTGTGTCGACATAGGGATGTGTGATTTTTGCATATTGCTACATAAGTGAGTGGATCAAGTGGTTATTTATACAACTTTATAGTTGTTTTTTTGTAAAGGGATGAACACCCAAATTCATTTGTATGCATCATTTAAAGTTGTGACTAAATTATTAGTTTTATTATTATTACAATTATTTTATTTTTTAAATGTAATCAATTGTATGCCAGGTTTGAAAATACATTTGTTTTAATGTATTAAATTTCCACTATTTATGTGAATGAAACATATACATACACGTGTACATTATTTGAAGTTTGTGTTTAAAAATAAATAAAAGACTGTTATAAAAATGTTGGATAGAACAAATAAAATGAACAGTAAACGTATTCCAAAATAAAATAATTCTAAATAAACTAAATAAATAGTACATGTTTGATAAGCGGTGGACAGTTAAACACTCATAAGGTTCTCCCACTTTCTATAACTTAAATATTGAACGTAAACACATAAATGATCATCTTAATATAAAATACAAAACATCAACAGCTATTAACTACAAGATACTTTCATTTGGAAATATTATGAAAACAACAACATATTTCCTGGTGGATCATAGTGACTGTTATATGGTTTCATCTCAGAAATCAAATAAATATTGCCTGTGGCTCTAATGTTCTGGTTAATTCGATATAAAAGCCAACATTAATAAATATTAATTCATTCAACATGTTTGTTTGTTTTTTACAGTTTATTCTGCTCCAGGAACTTGTGCATTTGTTCACTGCTAACAATACAGTTTTTTGGGGGGGAGGAAAATAATCCTCTATTTTATTTTACCCATTAAAAACATTAGATCAGAGGTGACATATTTAATGAGCCCGTCAAAGAAAAGTACAGCATGTTTTTTGGAAAACACATCCTCTGTTGTTCAGCAACGCAGACAATGCAATGCGGGGGCCTCCTCTCACAAATGCAACCCCCGCAAATCACGATCAAGGTCACTTTGAATTGAACTATACACGGGGGCCACTGCACCGTGTTGCTCTGTCAGGAATTTGAACAATGGGGTCATGTATCGTTTGGGTGCGAGGTCAGGTATAAAAGCAATGGGGGACATCGAGAAAAGTGTGCAGTACCTTAGAGCCAAAACAGTAGCAACTGTAGTCATGACCATGGGCAAGGTGTGTACAGCTTTCATAGTCTGATTAAGGTTGACGATATATTAAAAAGAAAGTACTTTATACAATCTGTACACTGTTATCATTGTGGTTTCTTGTTTGTTTTAGATCATCTTCTACGAGGACAGGAACTTCCAGGGTCGTTCCTATGAGACCAGCAGCGACTGCGCTGACATGTCCTCCTACCTGAGCAGGTGTCACTCCTGCAGGGTGGAGAGCGGCTGCTTCATGGTCTACGATCGCACCAACTACATGGGGAACCAGTACTTTGTCAGGAGGGGAGAGTACTCCGACTACCAGCGCATGGGCATGAGTGACTGCATCAGGTCTTGCCGCATGATCCCCATGGTACTGTAACTCATTTCCTGTTCATTTGATATTACACATGAGATTACATTGAACCAAATTACGTCTTTTGAAGGAGGATTTCAGTGACTCATGTTCACTTCAATTTACAGCACAGAGGCCAGTTCAGGATGAAGATCTACGAGAGGGAGAACTTCGGTGGTCAGAGTCACGAGCTGATGGAGGACTGCGACAACATGATGGACCGTTACCGCATGAACGAGTGCCAGTCCTGCAACGTGATGGACGGCCACTGGCTGATGTACGAGCAGCCCCAGTACAGAGGCAAGCAGATGTACCTGAGGCCCGGAGAGCACAGGAGCTTCAAGGACATGGGCATGAGCGGCATGAGGTTCATGAGCATGAAGCGCATCATGGATTCCTGTTATTAGAGCACTAATGTACAGAAGCAAGATTTTAAATAAAATCCAGTGATTCTCTTTTAAATTAATTCCCTCTGTTACTTTTTATTGAGTGATCTGAAACTCATACGACAAAGTACAACCTAAACTCATGGTAAAGAAAAAAAACGATACACAAAAAGAATATATATTTAAGTTTTTAGGTTTTAGGGACTCTACATTGCACACCATCAGATGGCAGCACTTATGAGTTGGGTTAAGCAAACCATGATACAATCATTTGATATTTTAAATAATATCTATATACACAGATAATCCTTCATCATTTACTTCAAGAGTAAAAGACAGACATATGTTGATATCAATAATAGACACAGTATGGATTTGTAGCAAGGGGAATTCATTTATATAAAATATACAAGTATTTATATTTGATAAGTGCACCATTAGGGCACATAGTGGTTTCTCTTTGTAAGAAATTCAAAACATTTAATGGGATGACGGATCAGTACACGTACAAGAAATGTAGGTGGTGGAATTTTAACATACTTAAGTAATACATACATATGTAAGTATTGCATACCTTTTGCAAAAGTGAACAAAAGTAAATTACCGTAACTTGTTTTCCTACATTTGATTCTCAAAGCATATCATTTTCTTGCCAATAACATGTTGTTCATGTCGATCACACTATCTATTATCTTATAAGACTGATCACACACTTTACTGTACTTATAATACGGTGCAACTGTGAAGTAGTGATAGTTAAGTCACAGGGAAAACATTTCCAGCTTTAAGTTGCTTTTTTTCACAACAAAATAATAAACTGGTTATGAGGCCGGTCACACTGTTAACAAGTAAAAACATATACATCTTTTGTCGTTTATAATCTGTTCCAGCTTTTCAAAAAGGCTGACGTTCAAAACAATTGATTCGTATTATTGTGTTTGTGTTCTAAGAGAAAGTACAAGAGCGACGCTCGCCCATTACAGACACATTGTGACACACAATGGGGAGAGGTACGCCATTTTTGTTTTGCTAGTAGTCTTTTTGTGGGAGTCACAAGAGTTTTGTTAACAAATAGCCTCTTTTGTTGTGGTTTTATCACAGATAATAAACTAAACTAACACCATATGTAAATGTAGAAGAGTCCAGCAGTGACTGGATGACCTTTGAGTACAGCAAATGTAAAAATATTTGAATTACTAGTAAAAGATCATAGAGGTTATAAACATGCTATTATATAAGATATTTGTACCACAGTCTTTCCCACTAGTTTGTTTTTTTACCATACTCTATATATATATATATACATCTATGTATTACTTGTTTTAACGCTTCATCCATCCTGAGCTGTATGTCATGATAGCTTATATCAACCCAGTTGCCAGGAAAAAATGTCATTGTACGTTTCTGCAAACCACGGATACGTTGAACGACAGCAAGCAAAGTAGAATGTCCAGTGACAGTTATCGGAAATTACGTGGTATGAAAGTTACGTGGTATGAAAGTTACGTGGTATGACGACTAATAAGTGAGA